TACCAAAAAATAATGAATACTATAGGAATTATATAGTATTATAAATGAACTGACATTGAATATTTGTGGGCCTTATGACTAATATTTGTAATCCTATATGATTAGTTTAATTACTCTTAAAAAATTAGCTGAAATAATAATTAAGTCTTCTTGGAGGAACCACTGGTCCACCCAAGACTGTTATGCTAAGAAAGAAGAAAAAATATAATAAGTCTTCTTGCACCAAGATTACACTAGATGCAACCAAAACAGAATCGCATTCACAGTGACTTGGATTTCTAACAGATAATCTTTGCCAAAGCAAAGAGAAGGTATTATTAAGTTTTTATTATTATTAAAGTGAATATTTTACAAATACCAACTCTTAACAATGAGCAGTATTTCAAGTTTTGGAAAATTAGGTAATTGATTATGGAAGTTTTATCAACTTTTTATATATAATAAAATTTGTTAAAGTTATGCAGATAATTTTTGAACCAAAAATATACATGTTATAGAAATCACTAGCTGAGAGATGCCTTTTAACGAGTCCTATGCTACTTCATGAACCAAAGAGGTATGCATGACTATGTCGCTATTTTCATTAATGAATACAGAAATGTAGAAATCTACCACTAGCAAATCCAAAATTCTAACCATGGTTCTATATCCATCCATAATTTCAAACACCTTCTTACTTTATGATCCAAAGAGGTCACTAAGTACTAGATTAGATCAATTTTCAAAAATACTGTCAGCCCGCTGTTGAAGCAAAGATAAAGAAATCCTTTTAGATACAGACAAACAATCGAGCGATTGCGGCGTTTACTACTCTAGTATAAAAGCCCAGCTCTGCGAAATGCATTTAAATAGCATCCATCAATCATCAATTATCTCAAAATACGGCATAATACAATAATCTTTGCCCACGGAAATTTAAAGTTCTTAAATATTTTGCACATGCCAAGTCTTAGCAAGGAGCAGTGCTACAAGCTCTGGAAAAAACCGTTTTCGAGCACCCAAAAATACTATAAGTAATTAATTTTGGAAGTTTTATCAAGTTTTAACCGTTTTCGAGCACCCAAAAATACTATAAGTAATTAATTTTGAAAGTTTTATCAAGTTCTCATAGGTAAGAAAATTGGTAAAAGTGTTGCAGATAATTTTTGAACCAAAAATATCACACAAAAATCACTAGCTAGGGAACGCTTTTTGAAAAACCCTACGATAATGCAACAGATTCATTAAACCTTTCCCACCTAATCCATTATACCAAATCCAACCTATACGCAGAAAGATATAGACATCACTAACTGGGAAATGCCTTTTAAGAAGCCCTATGCTAACACAACAGATTCATTAAACCTTTTCCACCTAATCCATTATACTAAATCCAACCTATAAACAGGAAGATGTAACCATCTCATAAAATTAGAATAATTTCAGTGAATCCAAAATGCTTTTAAGCAATGAAATAAATTATTATAAAGCCATAAACATACTTTTGGGAATTTTTGACATAATCTGTTACTTTTTTATGGTAAGCTTAAGCCAATGTCCGCTACCATAACAGTTAAATTCCAAAATGTTCAACTTTAATTATTTCTCAATATATTCCCCAGATTGTTCTTAGACAACTTCCGCTTCTTTTATGCGCACAAAAATCGCATAATTTTAAACGAACAACTTTAGTAAGCGGAAACCATGAGGAAACTTGGAAGGAAACTGCAATGAACGTAAAAGTATGCAAGAAAAAATTTAATAAAAAAAATTAGATTGCCGTGCACCAAAAAAAAAAAACAAAGAAAAAAAAATAGCAAAGAAATGGCGTAGTCCTCCTCGTACACTGCAGAAGTGAGAAAAATAGTTCAATGACAGTTATTTCGTGGGTATGTACTGTGTGATGTCAGAGGTTTTGTCCTTTTGTGTCTGATGCTAAAGTTGGTAGCAAAAGTAGTCGTAGTTGGAATAATAAGTTTTTTCTTTTACTATTTACTATCTTTATATACATGTATAAAAAATTTACAAAAGAAAAGGAAAAGATTTTTGTGCTTCAAAGTCAAAGTCTCATACTGTTATCCTTAAGTGCTTAACTATTCGTTTTTGTTGCTGCTTTAAATGCTGTTGTAGTAAAATGGCAAACCGTAATCTTTTTTTTTTTGAAAAAGTTGCTAAAATTTGCAGAATTTAAATGAGATGACGTGATGCCATGAAATTTATTAAATCATACAATAACACTAGCACGACAATGATTGATTTAAAGGAAATGAGCTAAAGTATTATACAATATAAGTAAGGAAGTATCAAATATCACTGCACTATATTCATATCATTATAAAAAGATAGTCAATACTCTCAAGAAGTTAGTGTCTATAAATAGTTTGTTTTTATATTTAAATAACGCAATACTAACATATAAAACATATGACTTTAACTTATTCTGTCCCCGCTCGTTTCTACTAAACTTAAGAATGGGATTAATTCTCTGAAAAATTATTAAGAAAAATTAAAACTATTAAATATTCATATAAGTCAATACTAACTAAGCTTAGGAATAGAGTCTTTGAAAAATAATTAAGAATAAACTTTTTTGGAATGTTTTAATTATAACTTAATATAATATATCTGCACAAAATATCTTTCAGGTCGCAGTCCACATGGCATAACCTATCTATAATAAATAATAATATATAATAAATATAAATATATATAAATATATATATATATATGTATTAAATACATATTCATTGCATTATAAATAACAAATCACGTCTTTGCTGTATGAATCATCTCGCTAGAATATTTGAAGGATTCTCAATTCATCTACTTTAAAAGAAATACGTACTTCTCCTAAATACGAAATATTAAATTACAAAAAGTACTTAAATCAAATAATCCTTCTATATAATTTTGCACCATTATAACAATTAAATGAGTAATTATAAATTATATTATATTATCTTTAATCACTAACACTTCTTATTATTTCAGAAATTTTAAATTAAATTGACTTTGCTAAATATTAAGTTCCCTTCATATTCATTGCTTTAATCTAAGAAAAGCAAATATTTTTTAAATAAATATAATTCATTTCATAATGCGAACATAAGTTATTAATTGAAGTAATACTTAATTGATATATAAACCACGCAGCCTAATACATCAAACCAAATTTATACATACACTCATACAGGTTACACTTATTTTTAGTGACATTTAACAATTGTATTATTTGAACATATGTACAACTAAATAAATCCCTTATTTACTTATATATATATATAGATAATAATTATATGCTATATTTTAATTATATTTTGTTGAATGTACCAGTATTTACATTCACCCTTCAGAATTGGCATACCTGTTCCGTGACTGTCGACATTTTTTCTTTTTACTATCAATTAATATTGTTGAAAATTACAGAAACAAAAAATTGAGAATCCTTTTGAGTCCTTCCACTTAACTGCATAAACGTCAAAACGATTTGTATACTGTTTTTACGTAATTTTTATTACAAGCACACAAACACTAAAATATGAAATTCGTAATTAATGAAATCATTATCATCCGTTTGTCTTTCCGTTTCCGCTTTTTTTTCAAATATTTTCAATTAAAATTTTAAATAACTCCGTCTACCGCAATCGCTACTATTTTCAATAATAAATCACTAAATTTGCGTCGCTTAATATGAAGCAACGTTTCGCTTGGGCGAAACTTTATATCCTATTAAGTTGTTACCGCTGAATGTACAAACAAGGATATTCTATCCTGCCTCATATATACTCTAAAAATGACAGTTAACTGCCGTAGAGCATTTTTATTCTGCGCAGACTCCAAATTCTGTTACGTTAAGTTGGTTGCAATTTGGTTAAAACGTTTAAATTTATAATTAATTTTTTGTCAAAAATAAAGTTATTTACATTTTATTATAGTATATTCTTATAATAATAAATTGTATTAATTTAAAACATTAATTTTGTGAAAAATACTGTATTTCTAGATTTAAAATGTTCAAATACTAAAAATTTGAACATTATAATATATATAATTGTTATGTTTTTAACAAAAATTTAATACTGGATTCACACGCACCTTTTTTCTATAAACAAACAATTTTCATTTTACATTGAAAGCAACAACAATTAACAGCCAAAATTATAAACAAAGCTCTCGTGTGTGAATCCAGTATAAGATTTAAAATTTTAAATCTTAATTTTAAAAATATAATTAAAATAAATAAAACAAAATATAGTTAAAAATTCGTATTTTAATATTTGTTAATATTTTAGTAATTAAAATTATTTTTCTTAAATTAATATTGTTATTAAAATACTTAATATTTATAATAGGTGCTTTCGGCAGCTCGCAATTGTAGTAAAAAACAATAAGTTGCTAACCTATAGGTGCTTAGCGAGACATTGGCATCACTGTTTCAATCTGTCAAATGATTTGTTTTGGCTAACAGCTAAATTATATTTTGGATAAAAATAAATAATTAAAATAAAATTGATTATAAAAATAATGAATTTAAAGCAATTGCGAAATTTCCCTTTATAACAAAATTATTAATAGTTTACAATATGTCTGTTCCACGAGCTACTCATAGTAACTTTGAATAACACTGTGTATTTACAAATATGATCCACCAACAAATTTTCGAGTAAATAAGAGCATTTGAGAGAGCGTAACATCCATGTCGAAATTTGAAAATGCTACACAGACTTTACTCGTACATTTTATTTCAGTTAAATTTGTGTTGTTGTGTGAATCAGTTGTTTTGGATTGAATTTAATTATTATATATATTATATTATATAAAATATTATCAATTTTTATTAAAAATCAAGTATTTAATGAAACAATATAAAGTTTTTCTTATATTAAAATCTAAGAAAAAGTTTTACATAATGTATATCTTCACAAAAAAAATGGGTTCATAATAAATTTAGAATGAATTGATAAATCAATCTACATATGTACATATTTTCGTCTATTATATTATATCCATATGTATAATCTTAAATTCAAATTTATATTTTGTATTTGCCGTAAAATTGTTAACATCCCTGTACGAAAATGTACTAAAAACAAAAGGCAAAATTGACAACGTCAACAAAAAAAATTAATTGTGTGTAATACAACAACGTTCGGCGCAGGTGAGGAGCAACAGTCGGGATATTAAGACAAGCACTGTGTTAATAATTTTTAAGTATTGTATTTGATTTACACAAAAGAACTGTGTGTAAATTAATTATTAATGTGTAAAATTTACAAAGCAAAATTCGTATAAAACATATTTTTTTATTATACACTGAACAATACAAACAATTTTCCGTAACATATGGAATTGGTAAAAACCGCTGACGTCTGTGCTGATAAACAAAAGAGTCATTAATGAAAACCGAAGGTAATTAATGTCCTAAGTTCTTAAGCCCCTAATAAAACAATTTTATTTATATTTTGTAATTATCTTATGCATTTTAGAAACACATTATGTCAGGTACACGGTATGAACGGCTCAACGATGATGTGTCTTTAGGTGGATATATTGGTGGAGACGAAAGTGATGAAATTGAGTTAGAGTCAGACCATCGTATTAAATACCATGGTTCAACTGATATTATAGAACGAAATGGAAGAAAAAGAGAACGAACTCATGGCAGAAATATTGTGCATGAGCAAAGCGGTGCTGAGCAAAACATAGCACATCTGCCGCGTTCACCTCTTGTGCAACTTGCACTTGGTTCCTTATGTACGGTTGTACTTTATTTAATATTATCCATATGCTTGATATTCTACCAAAAAGCTTTAGTTCAGGTAGGTTTAGTTCAACTTTAAAATAATTTGGAATAGTGTTATAAAAAATTACATATTTATTTTGTAGAATATCAAATTTCCACTTACTATAGTTTCATATCATCTTGTGATAAAATTCATACTTTCTGCCATTGTGCGCGCGGTTTACAAATGTCGCACTGGAAAAACTCGCGTCCAAATTGATTTTCGTACATCTCTGCGCAATATGGCACCAACCGGTATTGCTAGCGGCATAGATATAGGATTCTCTAACTGGGGCTTAGAATTAGTAACGATTTCTTTATATACTATGACAAAATCATCAACGATTGTGTTTATTTTAATATTTGCAATAATCCTAGGTCTAGAAAAAAAGGTAAACATGTACACTTGCAACATTTTAATTTGTTATCTATTTGTTTGTGATACAAATGATAAGATTAAGTTAAAATGCTGAGTTTTCTTTGTGTTTTGTTTATAAAAATTTATAACGGCTATATTTTTACAGAGTTGGGTGCTAGTTTTTATTGTTGCTCTAATTGCTACAGGCCTTTTTATGTTGACATACAAATCAACACAATTCAATGCATTGGGTTTTATATTCATATTGGGAGCATCATTAAGCAGTGGCATACGTTGGAGTTTTGCGCAATTTCTCATGCAAAAATCAAAATTGGGTTTGCACAATCCAATTGATATGATATATTATATGCAACCATGGATGATGATGTCCGTTTTACCATTAATTGCATTTGAAGGTAATATAGTGCGCATATGAATATAATTTTAAAACAGTTGGTTTTTTTATATTTAATAGGACCAAAATTATATGATGCTCTTCTGAGCTTACCTGAAATACCAAATGATGTTATATACATGACTATAATTAAAATCACATTTGGTGCAATGCTTGCTTTTCTAATGGAAGTAAGTGAATTTTTGGTTGTTGCTCAAACATCGAGTTTAACGCTTTCAATTGCTGGAATATTTAAGGTATGTTATGAAATATATAGCAATGTTTTATTTAATAATTATATTAATTGTTCTTTTTTTTGTTTCAGGACTTTTGTCAATTGGCTTTAGCTTTTGAATTCAATGGCGATCAACTCTCACTTATTAATGTGTTAGGTTTAGTTGTTTGTTTAGCTGGTATATGCTGTCATTTGCTTCATAAATATACAATGTTAGTTAAATTAGAAGCCATTAATTCCATTCACAATGATAATGATTTGACATTCCTAGACACAACTATAAATAATAATGGTGTAAATACTTCGCACCATAATCAAACATTCAATACAGCTCATAGAGCACACACAAACCTGACAGTTCCACTTTTAGACGAGACAGATTCTGATGATTCAAATAATGGCCATAAAGAGCAAAATTCATCCGACGTTATATTTGATGTACTTAAAAGACGAGATATGCAAAGATGAGCAAATATTTCTTACAGATATGAGTTGAAAGGTTAATTAAATTTTGAGACTCAGCGATGAGCACATATTGCTAAAAATATGACTTAGAAAACAGAAATAGATGACAAAAAATAGAGTTTTGAGACCCAATGAGGAGCATATATTGCTCAAAAATATATGACATGAAAGGCAGCTAATTAAAACAAAACTTGAAACTCATGTATATGCTGTAAATTAGTTAAATTGATTTGTATTCCATTTATATTATATCAATATATTATTATTAAATTTTGTAAGTAATTGTTGTAGATTTTTATTAAAACATTATGTACTATATGTTTTAATAAAAATATAAATTTGTTGAGTTTAAGTATATACACTTAACAAGCAAATAAAGTACCATTGAAGCATTTTTATTTATTTATTAATGTTTTTGTAAATATACTTATAAATTAAGTTATTTTAATGTAAATATATATATATAGACAAAATTTCCTTTAATTATAAACTACAAAATTACTTTATATTGAACGCGTTTTTGTATTTCTTTTTATTTAAATTATTTTATTTCAAAATTATTAATAAAAATAACATATATCTATACCGAAATTCGAAAGAAATATGATATAGATGCTTGTTTAACTTTTAAAACTTTTGAATATAAAAACTTCTAGTTCAGATAGATTTATGAAATGAATTTACTATCAGATTATTATATTGCATTATTTGAAAAATTTGTGTTGTCATTGACATAAGAAAAAACTATAATTAGTGTAAAAAAATTGAAAATGTCACTCTTGTTTCTTAGTTTTTAAATAATCATACACTTATGTATAAACTTTGTAGTTATATTATGATTATTAATAATCTACAATAATTTTAATTAACGAACAAACTATAATATAATATAAAATATTCTGTTGAGGGCACAGATATCAATTGAATGTGTGTCATGTTTGCAATATAAACTGAATTATCGGGACTATTTGCTCTGTTATATATAACGACATTCAGTTTAATGTGAGGCTGATAAAAGTAATATCAGTTCTATTTTTCTGCTGTTGATGTTCTTGGTATTATAAATACATTGATTCAGATGAAATTGAATGTAGATAAACTGCAGAGAAGGCAATACGCCTTGAGATAAAGATGGAATGTGAGCGTGGATGTGAAACCTCATCCCTTCCATGGGGCGGAATCATAGATCAATTGGACTCAAATCAGTGTATGTATTGCAATAGGTGACCATATGGGCAAACTCATGACGAGGTCACCTACAGTTATGGCACACATTGGAAATTAGAAATTGTATGTGAAAAGTAACTCTTTAGCAGTTGGCGTTATCATGATCTCAATTAGGTTAAAATAGTACTTACTTCAAAATAAGGATTCATATCATCCGTAGAGATTTTAGGTCTGTGCAGAACTGAACAGGACATGTTCAAAAGTATAGTTGTCTGAAATCAACTGTTGGTCTATCAGATCTTATTTACTTAAATAATGAGTTTTATTAAAGAAATAAAAGAAAAAAATTAAAACCTAATTTAAACTAATCTAATCTTATTGTTTGAGATACAATTGTTTTCTTATTTTTAACCCGACGTTTCATTACCAACATTTTCGGAGATACATATATGAAGTAAATCTTAAAACAATGTACAACTACTTAATCTTTATAAACTATGAATTCTTCATATCATCATTATTTGCACTACAGTCGTTATTCAATCATTCAACAAATCGATCCACCAATCCTGAGTGCGAACCAATGCTTTCTAGTTAGGCTTCCACTAAGTATTCTGATCTACACCATATTTACAGTGTAGATAACCCTCAGGAATCTGTGAAGCCGACATGAAAGAAATCACAAGACAAATACATTTCAAACTCATGTCCCATTACCCTGATGGTATGTGATTTAATAGAATGACATTTTAACTATTTTATTTTTAATTGTGAATTTAATTAAAACTCATTATACATTATATTTCTTTCTATAAATTATTTATTAAAAGTTAAAAATTAACATCGATATATAATATTATACTAATCAATATGATTTCGTTTTAAATATATACTCCATTAAAAATACTCAAAAGTACGAGTATATATAAAGTAGATAACACATATTAAGTACTCAACATTTTATAGCTTTAAATGATGTCTGTATTTTTTATTGTGATGGAGAAAACAATCTTATTTACATATTTATTATTAAGCACACTGATTGAAAAAAATAAAGATTTCAAGGAAAATATATGTCTTAATGGTTTTAATTATTTTTGTAGTAGTTATCTAATTTTAATATTTTTTTAACAGAAAGTTATTTGTCTTAAGTATTTGAAATACAAAATAATTATTTAATATCTAACTGATAAACTGAAAAATGTACTGCAATAAATAAAAATGTTTTTTTTTCCTGCTCTACAGGTTTTTTTAGGCTATAATATTTTTTTAATTATTTATATGCATTCATCTTTTTAATTTCATTTAAAGTTAAGAAGGGAAATAGATTTTTCAAAAATATAGAATATTTAAGTTAATCTATACCAATGGTTTTTTATAACAAAAGTTCGTTATATATAATAAGTATGATAAAGTACTTTTTGCTAAATAAATTATTACTATTTTCGCTATATAGTTTTATAGACATATATATATTTTAAATTTAAAATATGTACCTTATTACACCGGTTTTAAAGAAGTATGCTAAAGTGGTTATTCATTATCGTGAATAACTATGTGACTCGTGGTCGGTAACATAGTATACAACAAAATACTTTTACGTGGTTGACGAGCTCGTAACTCTAGATCGTGAACATCATTTACATATATTTATTTAGCTTGCCGCGTATATTTTTACAGTTATTTTATCCTCAAACTTAAAATAGCTTTTCTTTTGCGAAACAACAATTTTCGTTTAAATATATGATCAACATTAGTCTACAACTTTTTACTTAACACTTAATTAGTAGTTTATGTTCAAATTTAAATAAGGTATTTATAGCTGTACTCAAATGACATTCAATGTAATTATGAATGTACCCAACAAAAAAAATAAGTATTGTAAATACTTAATCCATACGGGCTCTTTTAGATTTTGGAGATCTAATAATACTTTCTTCAGTTTCAATATATTGTCCATCAATTGAGTCATTTGTACTCGATTCAGAATCATATTCTTTTTGGTTATTATAATGTTCTAGAGATATACCAGAGTCTGGGCTTATTGCAAACTGTTGAGAACTTGCATTTACATGATTGTATTTGTAACCACTCCGGTCGTAACAGCATTTTAACATACCCACACATTCTTGAATTTTCTCAAAACCACACCCTGTTCTTTGCATTAAATGTCTTGGCCATGCTGGTTCCACATGTGTCACAATCCGTGCACAAGCTAAACATGCGCTTGCTTTAATAGATGGTTTTGCATTTATAAATTGTATATCATGTACTGAAATATAAAAATAATCAATTTTCTAATAAAACGTATACATAAAGTAATCCTATTATATTTACTATTTAACGATAGATCCGAAATTGTTGCAACCATATTATTTACTACATTAAACATATCACTAAAACTTTTAAAAATCAACGTCGAATTTCTTTTGAAAACTGCGTTTTGTGAATTTTGTACATATAAACTAAAATCATTTAAAGTAACTACAGGAGCGCCAATATACTCAATAAATGAAGCCGTGGTTGGATAATTTAGTTTAAAGCTTAGTGATAGTAACATTCGTTTCTCAAATTCTTTATACTCGCTAAGAGTATAACTGGTTTCGAAAATTTTGTTCATTTGCGCAAGGCTTGGAATTGTGATATCCGTTTCCTCGAATTTGCCGGCAATACAGATTGCACTTATGGCAACCAATTTTAAATTCACCTGACTCAAAAAAATATGGCAGCTTCGAAATATATCCATGTGGTATATAGCTAAAAATATATATTAAAAAAAGTAAACAATTAATACGAAGTTAAAAATTCTAAATTATCATTAATACAATATAAATGAAATATCAATAATATTCTAATATCATTATATTCTCTCAATAATCGAAGAGCTATCGAAGGACAGCATTAACCAATTGGAGAAACAGCACCAACCAGTCGAACTCAAAATTAGAACTGAAGACATTCAACAGGAAAATCATATTCTACCATCCAAGTTAGTTTATACCAAATATAAAATATTTACAGGAAAAAAAGAAACATAACACACTGAAGAAAACCAATTTACGATTATAACACTCTTAAAGAAGAAGAAGAAACCACAAGCTGTATATACAGTAGCCTGTAACTATATTGAAAGATTCTTTATGGACATTCAAGGGAAAATTTTTTGTAAAAAAAAAAAATAAATTAAGAGTAATGAATACAGACTTGGGAAACTAATAATTATTAACTAAAAAATCAATTATACCAGATACTTATTCAACAACTAAACTGATTTGGGAAGATATGATAATAAAATCTGTGACGATACCAAGGTTCTAATTCATTATATATTATAAATTATATATTTGTATGGTTTTAAATATAATAAAGCAATTCTTAAGAAAAAATAAATTTTATTAATAAATTGAAAATTTGCAAATATTAGTTAGTGTTAGTGGTAGGCTTGAAAATGAGATATTTTTAAATATATTTTAGAAAATTCTATAACTCAAATTTTCTATTATATTTAATTTCTAACAAATTAAATATAATTCTGCTTCCTTAACTCGAGTTTCTATAACTCGAATTTCTCTATAATTCGAATAAAAATATTATCACGCGCCATTACGAATATGGGAAAATGCATTCTATAAGTGAAATTTTTGTTTCAAGAAAAACCAAAATTGTTTGGTGTTAGAGAAAATTCCTTTTTCCAAACCAAATGTTTCATTTTTTCTTTCTTATTTTGTTTCTTTGTGCAAAGGCCAATCCCTGGCAAACTGTAGTCAAACAATAGCGTACTGTAATAAAAAAGCTGGATTTGGCTAATTTTCTACATGGGACGAATAGAACGTCATTAATTTTCTTGAAAAACATTAATTTTTCTTAAAAAAATCTTATACTCTAATTTGAATGGCATTCTTTTGAATTTAACCTAATCTTTCCAATTGAAAACTCGGGGACTCACAGCGGATCATATAAGGATAATGTACCGCGCGGAACACAACTTTGTAACGTTACATTCTGCAGTTGTTGACGTGCAAAACTCTACTACAAATCATAGAAGGATAATTGATTAATTGGTTAAAGTTTAAACGGCAAAACGTTGCCTTTGGAAGTTACAATCAGCGCGAGGCATAAGTCTGTCGTTTTCTAAGTAAATGAAGTCGATGAACACACGTATCTTACCTATCTACACTGTACAACTACATACAACATCGGTTGTATTAAGTTTACGGATATTCGGATTTATTTCTGTAGTAATTTATTTAAATGTCTTCACATATGTTTATACAACATAAAGATTATATTTATTTTGTTTAATTTACAAGGACTAAAATACCATCTACCAAAATATTTTACCTTAAAATAATATATTTTTTTTAATTTATTTTGAATACTATTTCGGAAGTAAGGCATAAGTAAATATATTTAAGAAGTGTGTTGTAATTATAAATAAATTATAAACAATTATTTCTCTTACCCAAATGCAATGTAGTCTTTGCCAAATTAAGTAAATTACAAGCACTTTTTATTAAAAATACTAAATGAACTCTGATGTCTTCATGATGTTTATCTTTTATTTTAATCTTAGTAATGTCGTTTTCCAAATAAAATAACCTTTTTAAAATATCGTTATTATACGGATTATGGCATTCTTCCTTTTGCGCACACATGTTCGGGTCAAACATTGTTTCGTCCTGAAAGTTTACTTGACGCCACATCTAATAATCTAAATCATAATCTAAAAATCCAGAAATAGAAGTAGACATTTACGCAATTTACGTTTAATGCAATTTTCGTGTAACGGTAATCACTGTTTCCTCTTTGATTTCCATTTTCTTTTTATAAAGAAACGTTTAGTAGCAGAGTGATGCCATGTATTTCAATTTTTGTGATGCATTTCATTTTATTTTGATTAAAATATACTAGGACTATTCGCGTACCTACGTAAAAAATTACTTGCATTTTGTTACTTTCTATTTCCGTAGGGTCATGTTTTACACAAACTCAGGGTCTAAATATATAACTGTTTTATTTTTAATACAAATTAAAAAATGAAGAGGAGAAAGAAATAAGAGAGGTTGATTGCATTGGCCATCAGATAATTTCCATGTACCTCAATTAGCGATTTTTTGCTGTTTTACTACCACATTCCTTGCAAGAACCCTAGTATAGAAGAGTAAAAACTAAATCCATCCAGTCTTTCATCTTCACCGATTAGCAGTCTGATAAACTATCAGAGAAGTATTTTCCTAAGAACCTATATCTTCTAGACGCTAAAGCCTGGCATTCACAGAGAAAATGTATTATGGTTTCTTTCTCCTGCGGGTTTCCATAACTTTTGCAGAGAGGGTTATGGGGAGTTCCTACGTGAGTTCTGCGTGAGTTCCACACCAATAACCAGTTCCGAGGATTTATTTTTATTATAGGTCATGTTATTATAGGCCATGTTAACCTGGAAGTGGCACATGACCTAAGTGCTTTCCATCTGTTATTCGAAACTTGCAGAAAGTAGAGGAAATTACTTCTTTTAATGGTCTCTAGGGTAATATAAACCTGTATCGCCAGTGACGCATCCAGGGAGGCACAAGAGCGGGCTAAACTGTCATCTTTCTCGTTCCCTACGAAATATCAGTCAACCAATTTAGCTCGTCGATTGCTTCTCTACATTTCTTTAATATCTTTGATTTTGTTATGAAAGATTGAAAGACTTTAATAAGAGAGAAAATGGAAACTTTCGATTTGATTTTGGTCGCGGTTGTTAGGTTTTCTGTTCTTTGTCACGTTAGTCAAAATAGTGTTACTCGGGAATAAATGTTAGAATTTGCCCCTATTAGGAATAAATATAGGACTTTTCTTTTCTAAGTATATCACAAAAGAACATCCTTCAAATAGAACTCCCTTATTCTGAATTGCTTGGGAAACAGCTGTTTTTAAAACAACAAAAATTTCAAATTTGTTTTGTTGTACTTTGGCAACTATGATACTTTTTAATGGCGAAAAATGCGAAAATGAGCACAACAAACGAAAAGAAATGCGTATCATATGTTAATTTAAATTTAAAAATCGCATTATATGTCTGCAGCACAAAATATCAGAAATAAATATAATAATAATAATAAAAAACTTTTGTTTTATTTCTTTTAATTATATATTTTATTTTTTAAATATCTGCATAATCTATTTTTTTCTTATATACAAGTAAAATATTTTAATTATTAATTGGAATTATTAATGTTTTAACTAAAATTTGAGTTTCTCTTCAAAAGTCGTATGTATTTTTATAATTAAGATATAAATGTAATATATTTCGATCTGTGAATAAACTGTAATAATAGTTAAAATAAAAAAGAAGAAAATTATATTAAACTTATTCAAGGAATCCCATTCATTCTAGAATTTTTGTTCCTTTCAATATTGTATTTATTTTAAATAACAATAATTAACGCTTTGATTTGTGGAAAAACTCGTGTGAATAAAATAAAGACATAAAAATTCAAATACATATATTAAATTTGTTATAATGCTTTTATTATAATAATTTTATTATAATAATTTTAATAAAATATGTTAAATAAAAATTTTAATATAATAATTTTATTAAAATATTTTAGGAAAACTGATCAACCCGTGTGGATAAAATAAAAAAATAAAACTTTAAAAATATTACATTTATTATAATAATTTTATTAAAATAAAAATTTTATTAAAATATATTCAAACATCTGATCATTATAAGTAACTTACATATTTTTTAAATTATCTTCCACACAATTAGCTTGGGAAAGATTTTGTGCAAGATATTAAAAAAAACTCCCATTTCCATATGATTCAGAATAGAAAAATTGGAAAAAGAAAAAAAAACTCCCATTCCCATGCGATTCAAAATGGGGGTATATGTTGTTCTTTTGCGATATGCTTACAAAAGAAAAGGTCTTATGTGTATTTTTGTAAGGATATATAAGCATCTATACAAAACATGTGTTAGACCAGTAAGAAAAAGTATCCTAAAAATTTTTAATCTATTAATCAAAACTAAAGAAAAAATAAAATTATTGTTAATTTGAGGATACATTTTATCTTTAAATTATATTTTCTTTCAATTATACTTTCTTCACGTACTCTTAGAAAATTTTATATATACTTATATGTGTATATTTAAAATATTTCATTTCCACTATTTTCAACTTTTTGAAACTTTTTAGTTAATATTCGTTAAAATTTATAATCAAGGTTTGCAATAGTTCGCTTATCGCTTTGGTAACATGTTAGTAATATCTGCAGTCACTAAAATGTTTGAAAACTTCACAACTAGATACTTAGATAGAGAAAGTAATGTTGTTGTTTTGCGTACAAATTAGCCACTTTAAGCGAGCAACTTCCTGTTTTTTGTCACACTTAAAAGCTGCATAAAGAACCTATTATTAATTCTCCATAATTAAGGTTTGTTTACCGATTCGACTGGCTAAAGTGTTTAGTTACCCTTTTGGTTCCAAAAACAAATTTTTGCTCATTTTGCTCATAGAGGAGAAGTTGATATTATTTGCAAAATATCTTACGCACTATTTTTCTCCTCTTCTATTGAGAAAAATATAGTCATTGTTTGGAAGAGAATAAAATCACTAGTCACGTTCTTTATGATCACACTGTAAGAATGATTTTAAATACAGGAGAGAGTTTTTGGTCAAGTCTCTAACTCAAGAGATTATAAACTGTTCAACAAGGTTTTATGGCTCCAATCGAAAAACGGAATTTCTTCTATTTAATTAAGTTTTGTAGCAGTAAAAAAAGAATTGTTCCTGTCACAGCAATCTACTCCATTAAGACTATAATTTCCTATTATCTATCTAATAATTCAATACAGTTAAATTCTTTTATGTTCTATATCCAAGCGCATGTTAAAAATGATTATAAAATATATATTTGAGAGAATTATAAAATATCCCTTATTTTATTTTAATCAAATAAGTTTCATCCTAGTCTACGAAAATTAAAGCTTGCGCGTCTGACAAAAAAGAAATTTCGGATGAGAACAGTAAATAACACATATTTAGTCACTCAATGTGGATCAGGATGATTCTGAACCGAATCTTTTTCTGGCTTAATATATAATGAAATAAATTTAAAAAATTAATATTTTTTTCAACAAACCTGCTAGAATATCAATGAAATTTTGTTTACTTCTTCATAAGTATGACAGTAGCATTTTCTCTATCACCGCTGGTCATAAAAATCTTCATACATATTGTTTTCATATATAATCTATTTCATTATATCCACTCTCTTAAAACTTGAAACGACGTTAAAAGTGAAACTATTCCAACTGCCTTCTTTTGAAAACATATAAAATCTTTTCTTCAAAATTATTATAATAACCACAATATTTACAAATATTTAATAGAATTTTTTTATTGTAGATTTAATATTTACAAAATTTATATATGAATTTTTTTTCATACTATTTTATACAATTTTATATAAAATTAAATAAAATAAACATTAAAATAAATACATAGAATCAGGTATATAAATAAAAACTTTCTTATATGTTAAGATTCGCTATTTGATTGATTCGGAAGATATTAACTAAAATGGGAAGAATGTGATGCAAAATGCAAATTTAGTGGATATAATACATTTTTCTCACAAAATCTTGAAATTATTTCAATATATTACACATATTAAAAGTATACTGGAACTACATTAAAGACAAGTATTTGTTTTACATAAAAATTATACAAAAACTTATTACATTAATTAAAATACCATATTGCAATATAGAAAGAGAATCAATAAAAAATTTATAATCCTAAATACGAAAACTGTTAGCTGTACATAATTAATTTGCTTTCCTCAAATATATAAAAGAAAATATGATCGCTATTCTTATATTTAAAAATCTTAAATATACAATTTTTTATTATTCTAATATATATGTTTTTAATATATACGCTTGCATTGTAAATAAATTATTTCTTTTAAAATCTATAATTGAAAATATAAAACTATGATTCAATTTATTCATATATTTTGTTAATTTCTTTAAGGTTTGACTTGCAACTGCTTTTTTGTTGTTTTTTCATTTTGTTTTCTTTGTTTTTCTTTTTTTTTTTTTTGACACATTGCTATAAGTATGCTGCATAAAGGTTACAGCTCAACTCTTGGTCGAAATTGTAACCGTAACGGCGGATCTCTAAATCGCCAACGAGTTACATAAACAAACTTTAAAGTGTGATCCTTGCCCAAGAGTTCTTCATTGCACAAAATATCGATCTGTAAACAAAATTTTAATTAATTTTGGTTTTAAAATATAATATAATTAATTTTACCTCTCTATACTTATCAATGCCATTGAGTATCTTTTTAGCAACAAGTTTCTTTAAATGTGTAATAGTCGCTTGCGAACTGCAGCGTATAAAACGTCTCTGCAGGTTCTTAAAATTATTACTCATACATTCAAGGCAAACATTGACCTGTTCATCCAAACGATGAAAATCTGATTCAGCATGCGCTTCCATTACCTTTTCATTGTCATCGTCATGATTTTGTGGCATATCTTTAGGACAAGGCATATTGCGGGCTTTATAAAAGTCGCGTTCACAACGCATTTCATCTAAATTAAAAGAAACGATTTAGATTAATATCATTTTATATATATGTACATTTATTTTTTATTCTCTCTACCCACCTTCTTGCAAATTGGGTACTAATTTATATACTATATCCTGCATAGTGCGATCGAAACTAATATATTGTAACGGATGAGACTGGTGTATGACATTGTCACAGGTGGGGCAGGTTTTTTTCTCTTCTAAATGTTTAACCAAACAACTTTTACAAACTAAAATTATACAAATTTATATTTATAGGTGAGAAGTTCTATTTAAACAGTAATAAATAACATAATTCTTACAAGTATGTAGGCATTCGGTAACTGTTGTGGCATCAATAAAGTAGCCACCGCAAATTTTACACGTAATATGTGGATTAATAGATTTTAATTTAACGCGCCGTTCCATTATGAGTATTGATATTGCCACTTTTAATGCTAATTATTGTTAGCATTGCACATAATGTTTAGATTTGTTAAAAGATTTCACAAAAACTAAATACATGGAACATTGAAACACTTTTTCTTTAGCTTTGTAATTGTGTTTTAGAATAAATTTATTGCATTTGAAAATTAGCTATACATTGAGTGAGTAATAGTACTTTAAACATAAATTACATTACACGTTTATAGACATATAACAAAACAAATTAGTTAAAAAATAATATACCTAAAAGAAATTGACACGAACACGATAAGACTAATATTTGCTATAAAGTCTATCTGTCATTTTTAGTCGAGTTGTTTTTTTTTTATTCGAATGTTGGTAGCACTGTGAAATACACAGCATCAGGGTTCACTTAAATATGAAATAAAAGATTATTATATACAAATATGATATATATTTAATTATTTCATTAACATTATTTTGATATAATTTTAATTATTTTTATGAGATATAATCATTGGCATTTGCTTTACAATAAATGATATTATGTCTTCGCTTACTAGTACGTTAAAATACTAACATGCAATTTAATACTTTTTTCTACCGGCGATAAAATGTTTGTTATTGAATTAAATGTGTGCAAGTTATCGATTATTTCGGTAAAGAGTTTGGTAATAAATAAATTTGTGTATACAATAAGATTTTAATTATTATATATAAAACAATAAAGTGAAAGCTTTAAAATTCAATATTTAAAGGTGAAAAACTTAATAATGTTGAAAATTGTTTAATAGATTAATATACCGTGAACTCCCCAATATATTTCAACTGATTTCCGTAAATCTATGACTTATTCAATAATAAATTTTTCCTATGATATTCTAATATTAAATTAACTAAATTATTTAGTGACTTTTTTTTTATCGTCAACTAAAGCAGTTAAAAATTTATTTGATTTTAAATAAAAACTGCAACAAAACATAATAACTTTAGGTTAATAAAACCCGAAAAATTTTGCATCAACAGGTTATAAGAAATGCCTAATATCAATAAACCAGTTGAATAAGACACAATTTTCTACAATACATAATGTTTGTTAATATATTTTTGCATTAAGGAAACCAGTTTTAACAATTATCGCAGATGTCCGGTGATTCATTGTATAAAAGAATAACATTACTTATACATTAAATTATTTAAAAAAACTATTAATTTATTAACGTAGCTTTATTGAAAATGCACTTATAAAAATATGTTTATTAAAAGTGTTTTATTGAATTCTTATAACAATTTAAAAAATATATAAAATTCAACTTCTGTAGTGGTTATAAAGCTTAAGTATACATATCGAGAATAATGAGTAGTTTTTAGGTTACTTAAAAAGTGAAAGTAAATCAACAATTTAATAAATATGACATAGCTTTAGAGAATTTCAATGTAAAAATTTTTAACCCAAAATCAGTAGCAACTACTTAGCAGTACTTTCCAAATTACGCATGTTTTCTTGAAGAATAATGTACAAAATACATACATTAATTCAATAAAAACAATTTATTTTTATTATTGTTTAACTTAACAGAAAAACCTGAAATCTGTAAAGACAATACATCTTCATTATTAGCTACAGCTTTGTATGGATAAGCCTTACTTCAAACTGATTTTGCAATACACTTCATAGTCTTAGATTTCTCGGTCTCCTTCTCGCTGTGAAGCCATTTTGTTAACCTTTAAAAATTTATTTGTATTACAATCTGGCTTTCAAATTTCATGGTTGTAGAATTGTTTCAATACAGCGTCATAACGTTTCCTTTAGACTTTAGAGCACGATAGATCTTCATAATCATTTTCTGATTGAAGTTGGCGAACTTTTTGCTGTCTTAAAACTTGAGTGTAGGTACATTGAAACCCTAAATTAGAATGAACATGCCGAGAAACCTTAGAATAGATCCGATCACCGATCCGATCCGACGGCGAAAACCGTCATGCTGCCCCGCTTAGCACTATCTAATCTCAGAGTAATCACCAACCGCGCAAAACGGTATGCAGATCTTAAATCAGTCATTGAATAATCACGATGCTTATGAGGAATACACAAATTAGTCAGTGAGATAAGTGAGACTCTGCAGAAACGCCCCAGCTATCAAAGAGTAAAAAGTGCCCAAATGCACTAACTCGGAAAAGACTCAACTAGCGTTAAATATAATTATATGTAGTTAGGTATAGCTTTTTAAAGGCTTCGGTTTGAATAGTTTAATTAGTATATAGGAAAAATTATTTGTTTATATGTATTGTGTTAAATTGCAGGAGAAGCATTAATAGTACTAGAAACATTATGCCGGTATACTTGAATTTTTTAACTTGTATCTGCAGATAACATAGTAATATATTATTTTTGCGTAGATGTTTTAAAAATACTTTAAGCTCTTCAGTGTTGAATACATCAGCACTTATTGTATTTGTGCCAACATTCGTGAGCTCGGATATACCAAAGATAAAAGCCCTACATATTAATAAAGTATATGCGTTCACGGTTACACAGGAATAAGGGTCTTAACAGGTGTCTGTCTGATATATCTGGAGAAAAAAAACACCTTAATGAAGCAGGAACTGTCATAGTCCAATTGAGATTACGCAGCTATACGTAACAGTTACTTGTCACGCATAAATTCGTCAATTCCCAATGTTTGCCCTAAATATGGCTCTATTCCACATTACACGCTCATTTCTTCTTAAACTCCAATGCATAGAGTAATTTAAGCTAATTTGAAAGTGGTCAGGTTTTCTCCGTCTCCGTCTTAAAAAAAGACGACTTCTCAAGAACTCAAAAATTATAAATAAAATTAAAAAATTTTTAATGTTAATTCGTTTTTTGTCGAAATAACAAATAAAAAAAATCACAAAATATCTGGAACTTGAGCACGAAAAGTTTGTACAGTTTTGGCTACTTGTGGGGAAAACACGATTAGTCATCGCTTCTAATTTGACTGGCACGAGTTCTAGGCCTGGCACTTGAAGTCCAAACAAATCGTAAACGGACTATACACTAATTAAAAAATTCGAATATTTTCTAAGACTACAGCGTTGTATGGTCAACCAAACTTCAATTAATTAACTAAATTTTTTGTTGTTATCTTTTCATTTTTATTTGAAGCCTTGTAATATCAGAAAATTAGTAAATCATGTTGAGGATTTGGTTTTAAAGGAAGTTGGTAGATATAATCATAGTTCCACTTATATTGTAAACAGTCAATTGATTTGAATGAAGCGTTTAATATGAATAAAATTGAATCTTTAGCTCTTAAACATCTCACTCCTTAAATTTATGCATAGCTATGTTAATACTAATTAATTTATGAAAAAATTAAAATCATTCACAATAAATAATACTAAAATATTTTTAAGCTTTAATGAACTCAATGCTGTACCATAAGGCGAAGCTAATAAAATTAAATTTATTAAAAAATTAAAGTAATTAACAATAAATAAATTTGAAAGCAATACTGCTAGAGTTCAAGGTTCTTTATATATCAAAACGAGAGCACTTGCTTACATTATTTGCACTCCGCTGATTTTCAATTTCGTTACACGTACGAAAATACATTTGCTAACTTAATCAAAAAATATCTCAATGAATTATTTTCAGAAAGCTAAAAAACTTGTATTGACACAAACACAAACTGTGTTGTGATTTGAGAACGACGGCTAAGCTGCTGCTTTGGATTTAACAAACTTTAGTAGTTCTCCAGAACTCAAGACGCTTAGTTAAGCTGGCTGCTGTAGCAAAAAATTGTATAATGTCTGTTGGTCGTGTGCTTATCTATGGTGGCAAGGGAGCGCTTGGTGCTGCTTGTGTGTCACATTTTAAAGCAAATAATTTTGTAAGTTCAATATTGAAAATAATTAAAATTTGTGTATATATGTATATATATGAATACAGAATGAAATTGTTAATTACAGTGGGTTGGTAGCATAGACTTAAACAACAACGAACAAGCTGATGTTAGTATTGTAGTGCCAAAAGACGGCTCATGGACAGAGCAAGAAACAGCAGTTATCGAACAAGTTGGCAGTGCATTAAATGGTGAAAAATTAGATGCAGTAATATGCGTTGCTGGTGGTTGGGCAGGCGGCAATAGCAAAAAAGGTTAAACCATTTAAAAAAAAAATCAATTAATATTTAAATTAAAAAATAATTTTATTTTAGACTTGGCAAAAAATGCAGATCTTATGTGGCGTCAGAGTGTTTGGACATCAACAATATCTGCTGCTGTTGCGGCACAGTACTTAAAAAAAGGCGGTCTATTAGCGCTCACAGGCGCTAAGCCTGCTCTACAAGGTACGCCTGGTATGATTGGTTATGGTATGGCTAAAGCAGCAGTACATCAACTAACACGTTCTTTAGCTGAAAAAGATTCTGGATTACCTGAAGGTTAAAAAAACTTTAAATAACAGATATGAAGTTCTTTACAATAATTTACCTATTTATTTAACTCTTATGAATATAGGTGCTTTGGTGGTATCAATTTTACCTGTTACACTCGATACTCCAATGAACCGCAAATGGATGCCTAAAGCTGATTTTACTACATGGACTCCACTTACTGAAGTTGCCGAGTAAGTTATTTACACCCGTTATTATATATGTATTTGATTTTTAATACCTTTTCTTTTTAGACTCTTTCACAAATGGTCTAAAGGTAATGAACGTCCAAAGAATGGCGCGTTACTCCAATTAATCACAAAAGATTCCATTACCGAACTTATTGATGCCGCTTAATTTACATTTCAATATTATACAAAAGAAGTGATCTGAAACCACATGACTCATAAATATAGGGATTTTTGTTGATTCATATTTAATTCAAATGAATGTATTCTTAATAGTGCTTAATTAATAAAATTGTTATCTGAATATTTATATAAAAGCTTTAGTTCATAAACATCATAAATTTACAAGATGTTGATTTAAATAAGTTTAAATAATTAAAAGCTTAAAAATTAAATTTTAAACTACGATAACCTCTGCTTATCTACATTATTAAATAGAAAAAGTGAAAGGAACTTACATATATATATGTATAAATGTGGCTTACTATATATACATTTATATTATTTGTTAAGAAATACAAATATTTAGGCAGTTTTAAAGCATAAAAATATAATTTAAAATATATTAATATTTTCTTAATTACATAGACAGCAAATGTAAATTAACTCGAGTTTATATATTCATAATATAAGTGCTTAAATAATAAACATTGATGAAAAATTTTAATAATGTTTAATTTGGAACTGAATTTATCATTTGTGATTTAAATATAATTAATTGCATATACTTATATTCACAAAATATTGGTCTCGCCCGTACGAATCGTGGAGTAACATTAGCATGATTTTCTCAGTATTTGATTATATAAATATAATAAGAAAGAATATATAAATCATGCAACAAATAATGCCTCTACAAACAGAATAGTATTGACATTTAACAAATAAAAATTTAATTTATTAATGCAATTAGTCTACAGCTGGTTTACTTACTGTGTTTTTATATGATATAAACACAGTAAGTGAATTTATTAATAAAACTCACAGTGAAGTAACAAAACTTCCAGAAAAATGTGCGAACATAAAAGTTAAATACAGCTTTGGTTCAGTTGTTTAAGGTGCGCTGACTCTGAGCTTCAAATTTGACAGGACACGAGTTCGATTTCTGGTACTTGCAGTCTCAAAAATTATATACGAATAATTAAATACAAAAATTATTTCCAAGACCAATGATTATAAGTATTTGGCAATATTCGAAACAGCTGGTCAGCCAAAAATACAATTAATTAAAAATAATATAAAATGAATTTTTGTTGTTGTAGGTCACTACTGTCGAAAAACCTCTTTATTAAGATTATTTTAAATTTAGAAATAAACAGCCTAATGCCCGGAAAATAAACAAGATTATATATTTAAACCGGTTTTAGACGTATCTTATCGTACGCCTCTTTTAACATTACGAGGACGTATGAGTACTGATAAATAGTTTGAATGTTTTTAGTTTAGAACTCAATACTTCATTTCAGAGGCCAATTATAGAAAAAGAAATGCATAGCAGAGAGGAAATTTCGTAACAAAAAAATTTATAATATTATATAAAAAAATATAGGCAACAGTATGAAATTCTACCCTCGTTGATATTCAATGATATTAATTACATATATCATTAGCGACAATTTTGGAGACAATTACAGTTTACATATGTATATGTTTATATTTTTAAGGTTTTTTTGTGTTAAAATTCAATGTCCATAAAGTCAAGAAATGGAAGTTTTTTAAAGGCCTAAAACTTTTAAAATTGAAGCTACCTTTTTAACAACACCAACTCATATGAAATAAATATTAAATTGTTTAAATTAAATAAAAATAGCAAATTTATTTTGAAAACTATATATATGTCACAAAATTCTTTAAGGTATTTGGACGAATATATAACCCACAGTAACGTACTGTGGGTTTCAATTTATATCAATAGGAGAAAATAATAACAACAACATTCTTTCGTTATTAATATTAAAATAATATATATATCCTTATCTTTATTTATTTCCATCAAGTAATATGCCGCCAATTTGATAAAATTGTGTTTTGAAAAAATACCTTGAATCCCATTCAGGGTTGAAATTCAAAATTTTTATTTCAGTGCTTATAAGTCAAAATTTTAAAATAAAGTACTTAAAATAGTATTGTTGTGTGGCGATTTTTGGGAATTGTTCCAATACACTGAAACAAATTACAATAAAATAAAATTTTGCTATAAGATTCATGATTTTATTTTCATTTCACGAGCGCAATTACAAAGACTTAAAATGAGAAACAAAATTTAATCAAATTATAATATGCTGTGTAAATAAGTTATTAGCGAATAATAAACAAAATACTACCAATACATACATTTGTTACATTACATATATATGATATGAATATCGTTATCGTTTAGGATTAGTATTAATCAGCACGTTGATTTATAATACGATTTAAGTTTCAGGACATTATAGATTTTAATTTGCAAATTCACCCAATATAAAATTGATGCAATTTTAATAATATAACAACTGACTCAATGCTTATTTTGCTTATAATAGGAATCAACGCAGTAATTTCCAATTTACATGATTCAATAATCTTAATTATAATTGTAGTCTTTCTTATTCTAACAATCTTGTCATGAAAATAGCTTATCCTTATGTAACGTTATATGCCATTAAATCAAAAAAACTGCTTTAATAAATTCAGTGTAAGTGTCACTATAATTATAGCATATGCATTTAACACGTATATATTTTTTTAAACGAATAGCAAAGCAAAGAAAAGACAAGGACCATACAACGCTAGCTGACCATACAACGCTGTTTAGAGTATTGCCAAGTACTTATCATCAGTGGTCTTAGGAAATATTCGAATTTCTTAATTAGTTTATAGTCCTTATATAATTTGTTTGGACTGCAAGTGCCAGGCTTAGAACTCGTGCTTGTCAAATTAGAAGCGATGACTAATCGTGTTTTTCCACAAGTCGCCAAGACTGCACAAACTTTCAATGCATAAGTTCCAGGTTTATAAGTTGAATACGGTTTATTAGTCTGTTTTAATTATCACAAGTTTATTAATATAATTTAATTACAGTAGTAATTGCAGTATTTATTTTATAAAACTTTAGACTTTCATATTTGTTTAGTTGGTCACAATTTTTTTGTTTGAGCAAAAAATTACTGTAATTTTTACAATATTTAAATAACATAAAAACAATATTATAAAACATTGAATAAATATACATACGTTAAGTAAATTTTCAAAAAGTACTCTTTCATATTAAAAAAGTACTATTTAAAAAAAAAATTAATTGCATTGGCAACAATAGCTGTCAAATAAACAGGTATAAATTTTGGAAATAGTCTTCTTGTTTATTGGACGAATTTTACTCGTTGTTTGTATTTTGTAGACTTGCTTTCCAGACAACAAAGGATAATTTTATTGAAGCAGACATAAAGGATCAGTTATATTTGTGGTCTTGAATAGGAAGGTTCTAATATAATTCAAATATGAATAAGCGTAACAACGTAAGTTTTTTTCCGTCTACATTGTGTACTAAAAAAATGAAATTTATATCAACTTAATACAATAATATTAATAAGAAAATTTTTATTTAAAATTAGATTCGTTTACCCCCTGAAGTTAATCGACTTTTGTATGTGCGTAATTTACCATATAAAATTACTTCAGATGAAATGTATGATATTTTTGGAAAGTTTGGTGCAATACGTCAAATTAGAGTGTAAGTTTCACAATTTATTTAACAACAAAAATAAAAAACTAATTAAAAATTATTTTTTCAGTGGGAATACACCAGAGACACGTGGTACCGCCTTTGTTGTCTACGAGGATATATTTGACGCAAAAAATGCTTGTGACCATTTGTCTGGTTTTAACGTTTGTAATCGCTATCTTGTCGTTCTATACTATCAATCAAATAAAGCCTTCAAGCGTCTGGATGTGGACAAAAAACAGGAGGAAATTAATAATATAAAAACAAAGTATAATTTAAAAACTCCGGAGGCTCCCTAAAAATTGAGATGTGAAAGTAGTGTGGGGAGCCAGACAACATGTAGACATTTCGATTTTTTCATTCCATTAATTTGGTTGAATTGCAAAAATGTTTTTAATTTTTAAATCTTTTCAAATAATATTTTAATATAATGTTTCTTTAAAAAAATTTTGAATCATTTTATATACGTCACCATATACTCATCAAATCATTCATAATCATGCATATCATATTGCACTATACGATTGGGGTTGAGAATTATCCAAAAAAAAGAAAGTTGTTTTATATCCTTTGTGAGTAATTGAATTGATTTTTGATTTCAATTGAATAAGTGTAACTCATATAAATCATTATCAACACTATCATCTTCATAAAAATAACAAGCTAATAAATGTAAAATCCAAAAAAAAATTAATTCCGGCATTTTATTTAAAAAATTTAATTGAATAATATCTAACACAATCGATTTAAAAGTTTAAAACAAAAGATTTAGTTAAATCTAAAAGAATATAACTATTAAAATATATTTAAAATAATTAAGAGACAACCATCGATTTATTGTCATATGTGATTGCCTTTGTCAATGTGAGTAACTGAAAACCCTGGCATTTAGGAATTGTTTTACCACAGATACATTAGTGTGATATTTGTTTTACTGTAATGTAGTATTAACATATTACTGAAGTATTAGTATATTAAAACATGTACAATATTCATATTTCTGTTAAAATTAATTTCATTACTCACTGATTCCTAATGTCTAAACTCATATGGAAATTTGATTTTTATTAAGTATGGATTCTTTCATAAATCTAATTGGATCTCTGCTATGACTTAAATATGTTAACTGATTTATACAAACCAAGTTTATGCGTTTTTTTCCCAATTCTTACTCTACGTAAAATCATTATTCTAATTTACTTCACGTTAATATATATAATAGTACACAATGTTTGTACTATTTTACTAAACATTAACAATTTTATCAAAAATATATATTACAAACTTTATTAAATAAAAATACCCTTAATTTGGATTTATGCGTATTAGAATGATGAATGGTATATTGGGACCTATAAGATATATTATGTTATTTATTTATATAATAGTAATAAAATATTACTTACCACATATGTATATATTACAAATTTATTTATATTAATTTAAGTAAAAATGATTTAAGAATTTTTTTTTGTTTTAAATGTATTTATTTTATTATAATCGTCATACTTAATTTTATATTTATACTAATACATATGCTTGTAATATATTAAACTTATAGAAATATATTTTTGAGAATAAATGCTTCCTATTTATATGAAATGGAAACATATTAAATTTATTTTTTTATTTATTTAAAATACAATACCTTAAATTATTATTTTTTAATTATTTGATGTAGCTTTTGTTAATATATTCCAAAAAAATATCAAGCACAATGACATATATATATATATATACAATTAACACAATTTTAATATACGAAGGATGATACCTTGTTGCACTCTTTCCAGCTTAAAGATGTAAAACTGAAAAGCTTTTCCCCGACTATTTTAATTATTATGTAAAAATTACTTTGAAACTTTTTAATTAATATTTTAATATATACATATAACATATATTTTAATACATTAATTATATGCTGACTAAATTAACAAACATAAATACAAGTATGTTATTATATTATTTACCAACGTTTTTGTTATACATTACATTAAGACAAATACTTTAGAACAGGGCTGTCCAAAGCACGGCCCACGACATGTTTTTAATCTATTACAATTACCCAAATTTTCTTATAGTGTACTGGTAAGATAACATTATTTTATTTTTATGGTATACCAAATAAATGGATTTAAATTAATAAATTAATAAAACTAAATTTAACATTATAACCGTATTTTTATTTTTGTTGAAAATAACTATGAACTTATGTATTTGTTTCCGCGGCCCTCCAATATGTACAGTGATTTGTATTGACCCGCAAACGCATCTGGTCTGGACAGCCCTGCTTTAGAAGGTATGTTTTATGTTAGGTTGGAATGAGGGCCTTGTGCACAAAGCCCAAATAATCTGCTCAAACCATTCATACGTTGTTCATACGCATACCAGAAGTGCCCCTTATAAGACCAGTGGCTAGCGTACGAACATGGCTGAAGAGCACAATGTGTGTCTTAGCAATAAATATTTAATTATAAAAATGTTTATATCCGAGACGTTTTCCAATATATATGACAACTTTTCAAATTGTTCAAAATATAATTAATGTACATTAAAGCCATTAAAAAAAATCACTTTAAATAATTTCGAAAATGAAATTAAATGTTGTTTTGTCTATTTCTATAACTGTATGAATATATAATTGTTTTTTTAATTGTTTTTGGACTAAATATTTATTGTTGTTTGTTTTTTCACCTCCTGAGGTGAAATCTACTTCTTTTGATTTTCTTCTACACGATATGACAACAATTAGAGAGATGAATGGCGACACTTGGTAGTAAATGAATGGCTCCAGGCCGCTCGCGGAATTGATTACATATAGTACAATACATTAAGATAATAATGAAATATTAACAAACATATATAAAACCATCAAATCATTTTTAAAATGATTTGTTTTTATAGATATTTTACGTCAGATTGTAGGAATTTGTCATATCCAAAATATCATCGGACTTCATATATTACAATAATATAGAAAGTGTGTCTTAATGTACAACATAAAATATATCGCCGTCATAAAATTTAAACTTAAAGAATAAAAAGAATTAATATAAATAAACTATCAAATAATGCAATAATAAATGTTTAACATTTTACGATTTATGGATCAGTAATACCTACAGTACGTTTACCCATAGTACTAGTGTTTACAATTTGAAAGTCTCCTAAAGCCGGATTTTCAATTGTGATCGGTAATTGAGCATCACCAGTATCAACAATAAATTCTTTTATATCAACTGGATCTAATTTCATATGATCTGCATCAGTAACCATAGCATCATTATCTACATTACCACTTTTTTCGCCAAATATTTCTTTTGTCAGCTTCTGCAATTCTTCTTGTTGTTGTTGCATTACATCCAGTTGCTCTTTCGCCGCCGCTGCGATTACTGCACGCTCTTCAGCCGCCTTTCGTTTCGCTTCTTGTTTTTCTCGTTCCTGCAATTCAAGTTCTTCTCGAGCAGCAAATACAGTTGCAGGTATTATTGGTGGTCTATTTATGTGCACTTTCATATGACGTTTAAGTGCAACATATTGTATAAATCTTTTCCCACATTGATTGCATTCATGCGGCTTCTCACCAGTGTGCGTCATTTCGTGATGCTTTAAAGTTTGTGCTTTTGCAAAACGACGATGACAAAAGCGACAAGCAAAGTCTTTAACGCCTTCATGTACAATACGATGATGACGTTTCAGATTGCCTGGTCCATTAAAGCCTTGTCCACAATCTGGACATATATGTGGTCCTTCTTTCATCATAAAGTTTATTTGCGGAGACCATGATGGCACAGCCACTGAAGGTATCGGATTAACTGCTGTTCCTGCTAGTTGTGATATATCGACTCTCTCTACACGTCTTGGATCTTTAGGAATTGATGCTGCCGACTCAGCACATACTTTTAATATTTCTTCTGCTACTTTTTGATGCGTTTCTTTTGAATGATTCTCTGGCACTGGTAATTCAGGAAGAGGTGGCTGATTTTCAGTGGGTATTAAACCACCTTCCATTTGACGTTTTCGATAAACTTCGATGGCGCGTAAAACTCGTTTTTCGTGTGTTTTTAAATGTTTAGTTAAACCTTTCGCATATAAAAACTTTTTCCCGCAAACTTTACATTCGCAACGTTTTTCTCCAGTATGTGTCATTTCATGCATTTTACATGCGTTCGATTTGCCAAAAGTCTTACCACAGTATTGACAGGCATAATCTTTAATTTTCTCATGCACAATTTTAACGTGCATCCGCAGATTTTGTTTGTTGTGGGACGCATGCGGACATAGATGACATTTGAATTGCTTTTCCTGAGTATGTGTATTAATATGAGTATTCCACTCCTGCCTAGTCGTCTTACCAACACCACAATACGGACAAACATAATTTTTAATGCCTGCATGTCTCATAAGATGATCCTTAAGCGCACTATTAATAACAAATCTTTTTCCACAAATATTGCACGGAAATGGTAATTCTTTGCCATCATGTTTGTACATATGTTTCTTAAGTGCCATTGGACATCGAAATACTTTTTCACACTCAGTGCATGGATAACATTTTGGTTCATTTAATTCTTTCACAATTTTATGCACTTTCTTTAAATGCCAATTAAGCAGACGAGTTCGAGGGAATGTACGGCCACAGCCTTCCTCTGGACAGGGATAAGTTTGTATTGTTTCAGCATGACAATGTTCTACATGTAGACGTAAGCCATTGGCGGTTGTGAAGCCTTTTAAACATGTTTCAACAGTACACTGGTGCGGTAGCTTATCATTGTGATATTTCATATGCTCTTGATAGCGTTCTGATTTTTTAAATTTCTTATGACAAATGTGGCAATCAATAATGCGATGTAAATGTTTCTCTGATCTGGGTATACGTTTTCGTGCCAGTTTCGATCTTAAGGTTTTACCTAATTTTTTACGTAAACGAGTTGCCAAAGGTTTATCATCGTCACTATCGGTATCATTATCGTTGTCATTATCAGCATTGTCGGGTTGGAAATCATCATCGTCATCAGCAGATTCACTAAAAGAGTCATTGCTGAAGAATGTTTTATCATTTCTTTTAGTAGTATCTTCCGTCTTCTCATTTAAAACTACCTCTTCTGCCTCTTTATCAACATTTTCAATCATTTTAAATACATCTTCCTCATTATCAATAAATTCCAATTTGTGATTTACCAAAGGATCGAAGTTAAGTCTATCATCATCTTCTGCTGAGATAGTTTGTACATCAGGTGGACCTGTTTCCATAATATCAAAAGTATGAGTACTGAACGCTTTATTTTCCACCATATCTTGAAATTTTTGCACTGAATCCACACATAGTTTTTGAAAGTCATGTAAATCATTAAGACGCGTATAACAAACACCACAAATATTTTTTGGAAACCCATCATGCGGCTCCACAGATAAAGAAGTACAAACAACAAGTTTTTTCGCCAAACCTGGTATGAGAAAAAGATCATAAACGTTTTCAGTTTGTAACGTTTCTAAACATATTCGACAAATTGAATGAATATTGTGTTCGGTTCCACCGTCCATTTTTAATTATTATTTATATTCGCATTTATTTATTAATTAGAATTTTCCTCTTTTCGGGAAAATCTTACGCGTCAATGAAGTTTTTTATTATACTGTAGTGCTGCCACCCAATTGCATAAAAACTACAAATCAGAAAAGTTCTAAATCACTCTACTCACATACTAAACGTCATACAATCATAAAACATATATGTATAAAACAGTTCAACTATTGTAAATTAATAAAGGAAAATAATTATTGTTTTTTGTAGAATCATTATTTAAAAATAAATAAATATGCGTTTTAATAACAACTTATTGTTACAATTTATTTATGAAGCTACATATTGCACCCCGTAAGTTAATAAACATTTCTAGTTTTTTTTTTATTATTATAGTAAATAAATAAAAAAATATAAGATGATGTTTTTATAGACATAACAACAACAAAATTATTAAAAAACAGAATTATTGTACTTTAAAACTAATTGAGAAAATATGGCTACACATTTATAGTAAAGGAACAACACAAAAAATAAAATATGAAACAGGGTCCTTTTTATACAAATTTCCTACTGTTTACCTTTACATATTCAGCCCGATTGCGAGTTCAAGTAAATTGATGACAAATTAAGAGAAATAGTAAATAATGACGGTATGGCAGCCAATGTTGGTATTCACCAGAATTTCGAGTACGGTAAATTAGATAGAAATTAGGTAAATTATCATTGTGAAAATTTTATGAGATGTTTAATACATAAATAAATTTGATAACTTTTAACCAAAAATAATAAATATATATTTACATAAATGAAATGCAAAAAATCGAATTACTTTACCTCACTTTACTCGAACTTGCACACGGTCTTAATATATTGTAACTCATTCTACTCATTAAACATTATTTCATAAAATGTAGCAATAAAAAATTTATTATTACTTTTGATATTTACAAATTTGTTTAGTTATGAATATATGTAAATATATATAAAAATTTAAGTAATATATAGCAACAATTAGAATATACTTTAGAACTGATTTCAACCTTTCCTTGTAAAACAATATATATATTTTTAAATTTCAATAATAATATTCAAATATTTGCATACATACAGTCAGACATTATTCTTGCATTGCCTCTTGCATTTCTATTGAATGAAATAACTGCTTCACTTCATTCATAAATTTTTACTATGATCTGAACTGTTATCAAAAATAATAACAAATCATAAACATGACTTGAAATATAACAACAAAAGATTACTTCTTCTTAACAAGAACGTATTTCTTACGTTCATATTGATATCGTATTTTGCTACTTGTGTGTAAAATGCTTATTATATGTTTTGGTGAATGAATTTCGGAATATTAGTGAATCTATCTCTGTGACAACGTAATATCTTATTCTCATTTATATCTTATTCTCATTCCACTGCAGTTCAATTTTGCAGTGGAATTCTTAATTTTACGTACTGCCAGTGGTTTGAAGTACTGTGTATTACACTTCAAGCATTTCTTTGAAATATTTCTACGTGATTGACTCAATTACAAGCACAGTTGGCGGCACATAACCCTTCGCTTATAACTGGTTCAAACTAACTCATATTAACGACTAGTTACTTTTGTTTACTAGAAAATATTTCACCCGATGTCATAGCGTCTTCATGACATTGTCCTTCAAATTAAGCATTAAGACCTGAGTTGCTACAATTTATAAAGCTGTTTTTGTTTATATAAAAAAAATTTTTCTTCAGTTAAAAGTTTTTATTTTCATCAGTACTAAATCAAATTTTACTTGATAAAAATTATTGTATTAAACATTTCCTAACCATATTAGATACAAGTAAAGAACCAAAAACAAAACAAAAATCTATAAATAGCTTAATATTGCAAACAGTTATGATATAAAAAGTATTAATAATAAAAACACAGACATTATATAATTACATAAACTAAACTATATACTACATGCTTAACAAGAACTATTAACATTTCAGAATTTTTAACAGCTTTCCAATGCTTATTTCACTTCTGATGGTGGCATCCTTTCAGGAATTGGCACCGGTGCCATATCTTTGAGAATTTCTTTAGCCATTTTAAGTTTATTCTCTTGTTCTTTAATTTCGTCCAATTGCTGTTTTGCTGCTTCAGCAATAGCTGAACGATCTTCTTCTTCTTTTCGCTTAACTTCTATGTGTTTTATTTTTTTTCTCTGGACATCTTCGCGAGCAGCTAATACGGTGGCAGGTTTCGGTTGGGTAATATGTACTTTCATATGCCGTTTAAGATGATAATTTTGTATGAAACGCTTACCACAAATCGTGCATTCGAATTTCTTGACAGTTGGCGGCAACAAACTGCGGTCCATATGCACCTTCATATGTCGCTTTAACGCCACACTTTGTATAAAACGCTTGCCGCAGTCCATACATTGATGTGGCTTTTCTCCAGTATGTGTCATTTCGTGATGTTTAAGTGTATCAGCTTTAGCAAAACGTAGAGGACAATAACGACATGCGAAATCTTTAACTCGTTCGTGTACAATTCGATGATGACGTTTTAAATTACCAATGCCATTGAAGCCTTGACCACAGTCAGGACATATATGTGGACCTTCTTTTAACATTGGTTTTACTTGCGGCGACCAAGATGGAACTGCTACTGATGGAATGGGATTAATGGCAGTTCCTGCTAGCAATGAAATATCTACACGTGCTACACGCCTAGGATCAGTTGATACGGGATTAGCTGTCTTAGAAGTCACTTTCAACAGTTCCTCCGTTACTTTTTGATGCGTCTCTTTTAAGGTAGCCTCTGACACTTGCGATGGAGTGAATTCTTTATTTGGTATACCTTCAAATGCGCGCAGCACACGTTTCTCGTGTGTTTGCAAATGTTTTGTTAAACCTTTTAAATACAAAAATTTCTTATTACAAACCTTACACTCATGTTTCTTGTCTCCAGTATGAATCGTTTCATGCATTTTACATGCATTGGACTTTCCAAATGTTTTACCACAATATTGACATGCATAATCCTTGATTTTATCATGCACTATCTTTATGTGCATCCGCAGGTTTTGTCTATTGTGTGACGCATGGGGACACAGTTCACATTTAAATTTCTTCTCCTTGGTATGTGTGGTTATATGATTGTTCCATTCTTGTTTAGTTGTCTTACCCACACCACAATATGGACACATGTAATTTTTAATACCCGCATGCCTCATCAAATGGTCTTTTAAAGCAGTATTCGTGACGAATCGTTTGCCACAAATATTACATGGAAATGGTAGTTCCTTGCCATCGTGTTTAAACATATGTTTTTTGTGTGCCATTGGACATTTGAAAACTTTCTCACATTCGCTGCATGGATATTTTTTAATTTCATTTGGATCTCTTACTACTTTGTGTATTTTTTTCAGATGCCAATTCAGAATTCGCGTTCGATGGAATACACGTCCACATCCCTCGACAGTACAAGGATACTTTTCTGTTGGAACCGTATGCGTATGCTCTACATGTACCCGCAGTGCGTAAGATGTTGTAAAGCCTCTTTGACAATTTTCAACTGTGCACTGAAATGGTAGTTTGTCATTGTGATATTTCATATGATTTTGATAATTATCAGCTTTTTTGAACTTTTTCTGGCATATATGACAGGTTATTATGCGATGTAAATGCCGTTCTGCAGCTGGTATCCGCTTACGTTTCACTTTACCTTTTGGTCCATTGCTGGAATTTGCAGCTTCTTTTTTACGCAAACGTGCAGCAAGTGGCAGATCATCATCATCACTGTCGCTTTTATCGTTCTCATTGCAAATGAAATCTTCATCCTCGTCATTATCTTCTTCGAATTCGGTACTTGATTCATCACTAAATATTTTGCCATTTTTCGACTGATTTAAATTAGCTTCCTCTAATTGTTTTTCCTTCTCCTCCGTTTCTTTCGCTTCTTTATCAACATTTCCTATAAGTTTGAAAACATCATCTTCATTTTCCAATAATTCCATTTTATGGTTAAGTAATGGATCACAGTTAGGTGCTTCATCATCGTCTGCCAAAGCGTTTTGGGTTTCCTCAGTACCAGCAGGCACCCAATTGTCAACTGTGGTTAAAGGTACTTCCGGAAATCCATTCTTTGAAAATATATCCTGAAACTTTTGCACAGACTCAATACATTGTTTTTGAAAATCATGTAAATCGTTTAGACGCGTATAGCAAACTCCACAGATATTTTTTGGATATCCATCATTTGGTTCAACATTTATACAAGTGCATACAATTAACTTTTTTGCTAGCCCCGGAATAAGGAACAAATCGTAAGCATTTTCGTACTGTATATATTCTAAACATATCCGGCATATAGAATGTATATTATATTCTAAATTTGTGCTCATTTTATTGTATATAAAACTATATACAAAGACAATAATAATCTACATTTATTTTCAGTAAAACGCGTCGAAAATACTTTAATCAAAACAATGTTGCCAGATCATTAAATTGTTTCTATTTTTCTCGTTAAATTGCTTCAAATAACGTTATAAGTTTTATAATTGTTTAAAAGGCTAGAGTACCTATTGCTATGCACAATACATAATAATTACAAATTGCCATCTATGGTAAAAATATATATATGATATAATTTCTTAAATGACTGCGAATTATCCACAGTTAAAACACTTAATATCATGTTTCCACTGCAACTAAAGCTACTGTTAGAAATCAATTTAAAAGCGATCACATTTGTTTCAAATATTTATTTATATATGAATAATTTGAATGGTGCTTTAAAAACTATAAAATAAATTCATTTAGTACTAATACTTAAAATTAATTATTTTACTTCCTCTTAGTCACTACAACCGCCTTGCTTGTACGAGATTTTAAACAAACAGGAAAGCATAAATAAACAACTAGCTG